TTTCCTGAATCCAAATTGGCAGGGGTTGAGTATGTTTTGTGATGTTATAAATGAATATAGTCTCCTGTGCACAAGCTTCTCAAAGATTTTGGATAGCAATGGTAAGTTTGATATTGGCCTATAGTTGTTTAAATCTGTAGGGTCACCACCTTTATGTATTGGTGTAACCCTTGCTGTCTTGAGTAGGTTCGGGAAGGTGCTAGCTTCTAGTGACTTGTTAAAAAGCAATGAGATAGTATGCGAGAGGACATGGGCCACTCTCTTGTACAATAATGGTGGGACATGAGACAGATTCCCTGAGTTATTTTTAAGTGACTTTATAATCTTGGCGACTTCCGTGGGCTCAGTTGGAGCAAGATAGAAGGAATTTGGGAAATTCCCATCTAGGTAGTCCCCGGCATGGGCATTGGTACGTGGGATTTTATTGGCAAGATTAGAACCTATGGTTGAGAAGAAGTCGTTTATCTTGTTAGCTGTGTCGGTGAGTTGCAGTGGTGTTTCATTAGGTTTAGTTAGGACAATATTCTTGTTTTTTTTTCAGTTTGTGGGTCCCTAGAATCTGAGAGAGTGTTTTCCAGGTCTTTTTTTATATCTCCTCTTGTGTCAGTGAATCTACTGGAGTAGTATAGTTGTTTGGCTTTCTTTATTACTTTGGTGAGGACTGATGAATAGTGTTTAAGAATATCTTTGTGTATTAAGCCCTGTCTATATTGCTTTTCATATTGGTGTTTCTTATCAATGGATTTCAGAATGGTGCTGGTTAGCCATGGGCAACCAAGCCGTTTGTTTGTGATCTGTTTCATTTTTATAGGACAATGTTTGTTGTATAGTCTAAGTAGTTTGTTAAGAAAAATGTCTGTCCAGTTGTCAATACCATTGGCCTTGGAGAATTCTGTAGGCCAGTCAACAGTCTCTAGGTCAGCTGTGAACTTCCTTATTGAGGCCTCATCATGGAGTCTAAATGAGACTTTGTTGTATTCAAGTGGTGGTTTACTAATGTTTGTCAAGAGGAAGGTAGGGTAGTGGTCTGTAGTGCTATCTGTGATTATCCCTGATTTAAGGGGGGCTAGTATATTGGTCCATATGTGGTCTATTATGGTTGCACTTGTTTCAGTGAGCCTGGTTGGTTTAGTTATTATTGGTATGAGAAGTGTGTTGTTCATATTGTTGATGAAATCAGTTACAGGCTGATCATCTAGTAGGCCAAGGTTGATGTTGAAGTCTCCAGCTAAGAGAAGGTGGTGCTTATTCATTTGTCTGTTTGTTATTAGTGCCTTTAATTTCTCACTGAAGTTTGGGATGTTAGTGTGGGGTATCCGGTAAATGGCACCGATTGTTATAGGCGTCTTAAGGTTTTTTTACAGTAAAATTAGCAAAAATGTATTCTCCATATTCATCACTAAAGCAATTGGTGCTGATACAAGATAATTGGTTAGAGTAATAGATTGCAATACCACCCCCAACTTGGTATGGTCTGCAGTTGTGGATTGCTGTGTATCCTGGTAGAGGGTAGATATCTATTGTGTCCTGTTTTAGCCAGGTCTCGGTAAGAATAATGCAGGAGAAGGGTGTCTTTAGTGATTCAAGGAGTGCCAGGAGGTCATCATAGTGTTTGCTTAAGGACCTGATGTTGTAGTTAAGTACTGATAGACTTTTATCATTGTTTAGGATAGTGCTGGCTTGTGATGCTGTGTAGTAAAGGCAGTTACTTTCCAATAGGTTTTGATTGTGTGTCAGATTATGTAGGTTTAGATCAGGGTCAACGTGATCAATCATCTTCTAGGTTTAAATTATGGTTATTTATCCTGAGTTGTGTGTTGAGTTTTAGTACTGATATCTGTAGTGGTGGGAAGTTTGGACAAGTATATAGCTATAGCATTTTGGTCATGTAGAGTATAGTCACTAATACACATAATGAAGTTGGTGTTGTCTATGTGTTGTGCTGGAATGAGCTAAAGTACAACTAGGTATAAACTAATAATATAAAAATACAAATTAAAAATAGCACAAGACTCTCACTTGTAATTGCACTAAGGTCTAATGTAATGACTTTGGTATAGTCTATGTATTGACCTAGAGTGAACAATAGTACAACTAGGTTTAATCTAATAATGTAGAAATACAAATTAAAAATAGCACCAGGCTCTCACTAGTAATTACACTGTGGTGTAATATAATGACTTTGGTACTGACTATGTATTGAGCTAGAATGAGCTATAGTACAACTGAGTTTAATCTAATGATATAAAAAAGGCACAAGACTCTCAGTTGTAATTGCACTAAGGTGTTATATAAGTTGTTTACAAGAATTAGAGTATAACTAGATTTAAATTGACAAGATAAAATATACAAGTTAAGGTAGCAAAAGAATAAAAAAAAGTAGAAAAAAAAATATGAGGTAGTTGGTACTAGTTAGCAAAAGATAGTTAAGGGCCTTGAACAATAATATAATTGAAATATACACTAATTGCACACACAATATAGTCACTAAGATATGAAAACAATCTTAGAGTAGGACTTACAATATAAACTTATAATATAAAAATACAAATTGAAATGGTACTTGCAATTGCACTAGAGTCTGGTATAGGTTGTTGACAAGATCAAGAGTATAACTAGATTTAAATAGACAAAATAAAATTCACAATTAAAGTACCAAAAGAATAATAGTAAAAAATAACAATGGTAATGTCTTGGTTATAATATGATAGTAAGATGGCAACAAAATGTTATGGGAAGTATAAAATAATGTTTAATGTAAAAAAGTAAAATTGACTGGTAGTAAATATGGTGTTTAATAAAATTTTAGTAAGTAATAATGATTACAAAAAAAGTGAAAAAGTAATGTTTATTTCATTCAATATTGCACTGGTAGTTATACTTGAGGTTATTTGGCAGTACAAGGTAATTAAGAGTACTCTAAGATAGTAAATGTGGTATTAAAACAGATAAAGGTAATTAGACAAGTAATGGTTATTAAATGTCAAAAATGTTGAGAGTAAATTGAAATTATAGTAAAAATTGTAATTATTAATTTTAGTAAGTAATATCAATTGATAGTATTTAAAAAAATATGAGGTAGTAATATGGACAGAGAAAGTATCAATTCAGCTAATGTTTAAGCAAACAATAGTAAATAAGAAAATTACATAAGGTGACTTATGCTTACTAGTAAAATCACAAAATGAGGTAGTTGATTATTTAATTACTTAGAGATTGTACAATGAAATTTGAACAATAATGGAGCAAAACATACACTACACTACGTAGGCTTCCCTATCCATATCCTTAGGCTTCCCTATCCTTAACATTTAACAATTCCTCAAAATATTCCCTACATTTTCTCAATACCTCTAACTCTCCTCTCTTCTTTTTAACTGTAAAATCCATTCATTTCCTAGGCTTTCTCAACTTATTAGTCTCACTCCAAAACTTTTTCTTATTTTTAATCTCATTTGCTCTGTTTTAAATTCCACCACTCTTTTAACTATTTTTTTTTCTCTCCATATATTCCTCCCTCATTATATCACTTCTATTTTGTAAAAACCTCTCATATGCTAACTGTTTTTCTACTACTATTCACCTCATCATTCCACCAATCACTCTTCTTCCCTCCTGCACACACTTGCCTGTAACCACAAACTTCTGATATACACTCTAACACTACATTCTTAAACCTACCCCATACCTCTTCAACCTCATTGCCTATAAATATGTATTAATATGTGTAGAGGTAGAAAGTAGAAAGTGAACATAGATAAGAGTAAGGTGATGAGGGTTTCAAATGATTTAGATAAAGAAAACTTGGATATCACATTGGAGGGAGGGAATATGGAAGAAGTGGATGTGTTCAGATATTTAGGAGTTGACTTGTCAGTGGATGGGTTTATGAAGGATGAGATTAACCATAAAATTGATGAAGGAAAAAAGGTGAGTGGTGCACTGAAGTATCTGTAGAAACAAAAAAGTTATCCATGGAGGCAAAGAAGGGAATATATGAGAGTATAGTTGTACCAACACTTATATGGGTATGAAGCATGGGTTGTAAATGCTGCAGCGAGGAGGAGGCTGGAGGCAGTGGAGATATCGTGTCTAAGGGCAGTGTGTGGTGCAGACTTACCTACTACTCCTTCCACAACAGTTTTACCCACTTTAGAATGTAGATCCCCCACCACAAGTACTCTCTCACTTGATTCAAAACTCCCCACACATTCAACATCTCCCAAAATTTCTCTCTCTTCTCTACACTTCTTTTTTCTCCAGGTGCATGAACACTTTCCACATCCAACCCTTATTTTACTTCGCATAATCCTTGAATTTATACATTTATATTCCCTCGTTTCCTGCCATAACTGATCATTCAACATTATTGCTACTCCTTCCTTAGCTCTGTTAGAAACCCGACCTAATCCCATTTATTTCGTCCCACTGAAACTCTCCTACTCCCTTCAGCTTTGTTTCACCTAGAGCCAGGACATCCAGCTTCTTTTCATTTATAACATCCACAGCCATCTTTCTTATAATATGCACTATATCCACACACATTCAAACATCCCAACTTAAAGTTTTTTTATTTTTATTTTTTAGTAAGCCATATGGGAAAAAAGGTTACTAGCCTGTTGCTCCTGGCATTTTCATTGACTTTTACAACACCCATGGCTCATGGAGGAAAGATTATTATTCTGCTTCTCCATAGATATGAAAGGAAAATAATAAGAAGAACTATTAGGAAAAAACAAAGAAAACTCAGATGAGTGTGTATACATGTGTATATGCATGTGTAATGTGAGCTAAGTGTATGTAAGAGTAGCAAGATATACCTGTTATCTTGTGTGTTTATGAGACAGAAAGAAGACACCAGCACTCCAAACATCGTGTAAAACGAATACAAGTTTCTGTCCTACACTCATATGGCAAGATAGTTGTACCTCCCTGGGTGGTTGCTGTCTGCCAACCTACTATTAAGAGATATATTTTAAATTATATTTTCTTTTATACAGGGAAGTGAAAATTTGGCTGATGATGACCTGGTAACAGTTGTAGAGGGACAACAGACAGCTCATTCTCAGTTACATGAACAAGAGGAATCTCAAAAGCATCAAGTATGTTTATAGTCCCAGTTCTTTAGATCTATGCATATTTTTAAGCCACCCTATTATAATTTTCCAAATTGAACCCTTTCACTGTCATGACCCACAAAATTAAAAGGCTTGTCAGTGTTGCAATTTAAAAACATATCTAAAAAGGTGGAAAATCTTTTTCTAGATGTATTTTTTTTATTAGCACATCTGCCATTTCCCACCAAGGCAGGGTGACCTGAAAAAGAAGAAATGCCTTCATCCTCATTCATTGTATCACTGTCTTGCCAGAGGTGCACCTACACTACAGTTAAGAAATTGCATCATCATCAACTCCTTCAGAGCACAGGCACTATACTTTCCAACTTCAGGACTCAGTCTGGCTTGCCTGTTTCCCTGAATCATTTCATAAATGTTACTTTGCTCATACTCCAAGAGCACATCAAGTCATAAAAACTATTTGTCTCCATTCGTTTCTGTCTAACACACTCATGCATGCTTACTAGAAGTCCAGGCCCCTCGCACACAAAACCTTTTTTCCCTCCCTCCAACCTTTCATAGGCTGATCCCTACCCCACCTTCCCTCCACTACAGATTTATTTGCTCTCCAAGTCATTCTATATTGTTCCATCCTCTCTAAATGTCCAAACCACCTCAGCAACCCCTCCTCAGCCCTCTGGATAATACTTTTAGTAACCCCACACCTCCTAATTTCCAGACTATCAGTTTTCTGCATTATATTCACACCACACATTGCCCTCAGATATGACATTTCCATTACCTCCAGCCTTCTCCTTGTTGCAGCATTCACCACCCATGCTTCACACTCATATAAGATGTAATGACACCAAAGATGAAAAATTTTATGGAAAACTTGTGGAATTTTTCAAGTGTGAAGTTGGAGAATGGGAAGCACTTTAAGCAACTGTGATTTTGCCCACTTAGATACCTATTTTGGGTCAGTTACATTTCACAATTACATTTTCTGGCTATTTTGTTAATGTACTTTCCATTCTATTGGTTGAGCACAAGAAACTGCCCATTCATTTATCAGAACTACCTTATAAAGTGCCCTGAAGTCTGGAATTTGGCAAATTCTACATAAAATTCATAAAATTCCAGTTGGAAAACACAAGTCCAAAATAAACATTTTGGGTATTCCAGTCACCAAAGTAACCTTTCTTCTGTTCATTAATCACATCCCCAAGCCATTCCTTTATAACCATCACTTTTCATTTTCATTTTGTCATCACAAAAAAAAAAAATTCACTATTTCTCAGCTAATAAAATATGACCAAGAATGATTGGTCGTATTTTAGGTTGTCCCAATAATTAACCCTTTGAGGGTCCAGAGGCCAAACCTCAAAAAAAAAAAAAAAAAAAAAAAAATTATTATAGAATTAAAGATAATATTTTTCCAGAGGTATACAACAACACAAAACAAAAAATTCCAATCAGTTCTTTCCAAGATATTTAGGTGTGAAGTTAATCCTCAGTGACCGGGTGGCGGCAACATTGGTGACTTATGTAAAGTCGCATTTTTTTATTTTACTATTTTGTTACTTTTTTCTTTTCTAATTTTTTTTCCAGTAATGTTTCTGGCCTGTGAGACCAATATAATGCATAATGTATATATGTACACTTGTTGCATTGAACACAATAATCACACTAATATTTTCATCATTATATTGTTTACAAAACATGTTTACAACAAAAAACATGCAAAAATGTTGTACATATATTAATAATGTTCTATTATATATTTACATATGTACAGTCACTGAACATGTTCCTAGAACTGCTGCAGTTTGTGAAAGTCTTTGAAACAAGGTCTCATACACAGTGGTGTCTTACTCATCTGTGGACCAGTATGATTTTATATTATGCTTATAGACATGAGACATAAGCATTATTGTTGCAAAAAAAACAAATACATTTTAGCTGCAGTTATCTCCTTCCACCAGTGGATGATGATGTGCTTTGTCCTGAACTTGCTGAGTCAGCAGCTTGGGTCCCAGCCTGGGCTGGTGCTGCATGCTGCATACTCGTGGCACCACTACCACCTACTGACGCATGTAGTCTATCCATCCCAATTTTAGCCACATCATCATCACTTTCACTGTCTATTCCAGGTATAGGGCCACAGGATGTACTCCATCCCCTTGGAATTGCATATGGTACAGGGTGCCATATGGTACAGATACAGGGACAATACTGATGCATGTGGTCTATCCATCCCTATTGTGGCCACATCATCATCACTTTCACTGTCTATTCCAGGTGTAGAGCCACGGGATGTACTCCGTCCCCTTGGAATTGCATATGGTACAGATACAGGGACTCCATTGGAAGTAAGTCACCTGTCTTTTTTGGGCTATCAAAGGATCTTTACACATATGTTGCTATGCATGATAATCTATGTAACTGTATTTGTGTATACCTGAATAAACTTACTTACCCGAGTGCATGTGGCATCACAAGAAAGTAAATTCATTCAGGTATACACAAATACAGTTACATAGATTATCATACATAGCAGTATATGTGTGGAGAACCTAGGATGACCCAAAAAAGTCATAGTGACTTATTTCCATTGGGGTCCCTATACCCTATACCATATGGTACCATTGTACCATTTGGTACAATGTACCATGTGATTCAGAACCATAGAATTCCTCTTCAGATCCACTTCCATCAGTGTTGGAACTATCACTTGGGAAGAGGAGAGTCCTGGTTCGCCGGGGAGTGAGAGCTTCCTTGCCGCGAGGCATGATGAACAAAGTGTACTGAGATGGCGTTCCCACAGTGCAATACGGGTGCCCCGATTTTTTGTTTACTGCTCACACTGACCACGCAGACCCATTCTCTTAGATGTAGGCCTACCAGACTTCTCATGCTAAATTTGAAGCTGATAGAATTATGGCATAGTTCTGTGGCTTGGACTCTGTCCCCAAAAAAACAAAAAAAACTGGGGTAGGGGCCTACCTTTCCTCAGGAAAATCACCATAAAATAAAATTTAATATTTCCTCCACTTTGAGGACTATTTCAGGCCACTTCTGGTCTGAAACTGACAAAGTATCTCCCTTTCACTAATACAGTGGACCCCCGCATAGCGATTTTAATCCGTGCAAGAGGGCTCATTGTTATGCGAAATGATCGGTATGCGAATGAATTTTCCCCATAAGAAATAATGGAAATCAAATTAATCCGTGCAAGACACCCAAAAGTATGAAAAAAAAAATTTTACCACATGAAATATACATTTTCCTACACACAAAGAGAAGGATACATGCACAATAGTAGAGTAGTACATGCACAATATATATTGTGCATGTACTACTCATATAAAAGAAGAATAAATGACACTTACCTTTATTGAAGATGCAGCAATGAAATGATGAGACACTGTGTCCTGGGAGTGCCTTTTCCTCCTGAGTACTGGAGGTCCTGTTTGGCATTTTCTTCCAGAACAGGCCTTATCACACTGTGTATGCCACTACGATTCTTAAATCTCTCAAACCAACCTTTGCTGGCTTTAAATTCACCAATATGAGCACTAGTTCCAGGCATTTTTCCCTGTTCACCTGGGTGTTAGTCGACTGGTGTGGGTTGCATCCTGGGAGACAAGATTAAGGACCCCAATGGAAATAAGTTAGACAGTCTTCGATGACACTGACTTTTTTGGGTTATCCTGGGTGGCAAATCCTCTGGGGTTAATTGTTTCTTGGTATTCTCAATAAGCCACACCAACAACGGTGCTACAGCAGCAGCAGCAGCTGACAGTGCTACAGCAGCAGCAGCAGCTGACAGTGCTACAGCAGCAGCAGCAGCTGACAGTGCTACAGCAGCAGCAGACGATGCTACAGCAGCAGCAGACGATGCTACAGCAGCAGCAGACGGTACTACAGCAGCAGCAGACGGTACTACAACAGCAGCAGCAGCAGCTGACGGTGGTACAACAGCAGCAGCAGCTGACAGTGCTACAGCAGCAGCAGACGATGCTACAGCAGCAGCAGACGGTACTACAGCAGCAGCAGCAGCTGACGGTGGTACAGCAGCAGCAGCAGCAGCAGCTGTACCACTAATAGTAGCGATGGTTGATTGGGGTTTATTATACAACCTGGCCAGCTTGGAGACACGCACTCCACTTTCATACTTATCAATGATCTTTTTCTTCATCTCTATAGTAATTCTCACCCTTATTGCTGTAGGGTTGGCACTAGAAGCTTTCTTGGGGCCCATGGTCACTTATTTTGCAGATAAAATCACCAAAAACACTGTAATAATACGAAATGTTCCGATTGTATGCTTGGATGTTACCGCGGAGGCTGGCTGGTAATCAATGCCACCGGCGGCACATGTGAGGCTCGCTAAGGGCGCACATTAGACGTGTCTCGGACGAACAGCGGTGAGCGGGTTTTTGAGTGGTATGCGAGGCAAAATTTTTGCGATAAAAGCGAGTGGTATGCGGATTAAACGTTATGTGATGCCGACGGTATGCGGGGGTCTACTGTATATCTTCCAACCTATGTACTGACACCAAGAAACTGCCAATAAAACCACGAAAGTAATCCTAAAAAACAAAGTTGCTATTTTAAACCAAACACAAGGTAGAGGTTAGGTGTTCCCATCTTGTATTGCATGAGACAGGATTTATTTTTCTACTGTGTACACCCACCATGGAAATCCATTCTCTGATGTCCAGGTCAAAATTTACCACTTACAGCATGTTTGAGGGCATTTTGATTAAGATGCATATACCATATACATAAGCACCACTGGGCTCAAAAAGATATGCAATGAACCCTCAAATTAATAGACTAATAGGAGTGTGGGGTGTACACTGATGATTGTTTTTAGATTTTGAAATTGTGAAATGTATTTTTCATGATTTGTGAAATAAATGAACATTCTTAATTGGTGGACTTGGTCCGTTGATTCAGAAGACTATCAGACTGAAAATATTGTAACTTGTAAAACAGTACTGTACATGTACATTAGATGGATGAGTGTGAGAGAGGGT